GCAAGCATAACAACAGCCGGTGTTTCTCCTGAAAGTTTTCCCCGGGAAACAAACGCAAAAATACATAAACACACACACGTGGTATACACGCACACACTCGCGAGCTCCCCCCAGACCAGTAATCCAAACGAAAATATCTTCCCTCCGTACTACTTTGATCATTTGCTCCGCTAATAATCAATCAGATCGATCCAGAGAAGAGGAAACTTTAAGGCCTTTTTCTCAAAATGATGACTCGGTGACAGTCATTATATAATGTGACATATTTTGCTTAAAGGGATAGTGGAAATGGAACCTCAAATAGTTTCGTTTTAACTTATATACAAGCATAATTACGTACCAAAACAATCACACCTGATTAAAATAATATAATAAATGCCTTACGCATGTTAGAAGCACTTTATTGCAGCTTCCCCGAAGTTTTTTAGAAACGAAATGTTCGACCGGAAGTGACGAAAAGTTAGGAAGACGATACGATAACAAACCATGGCGTCTATGCAGAATGAACGTGGAAGGGCAAATATACCAGAGAAAGAAGAAGGATTGTACGAGGTATCCAGTGATGATAGCGAGTCAGAAACATCCTCTCGGCTTTCCTACGAAAATGTCGTTTTAGGAACTGAATCTGAATCCGGTTCAGTAAGCGACGATGGTGACAATATTGAGCCAGACGATGGACCATTACGTCCTTATTTGTTCGAGCCCGAGCCCGAGGTGATGGTTCACGGCATGGGCAATGGCGAGGATGACCAGGACCAGGCGCCAGATGATGCACCCCTACGCACAAATAATCTTGACTGGTAGGTCCCTAAGCATAGCTCACGCATCTTAAGATCACCTGTAGCCTTTACAAATATTAATCATTGTTAACCAGTTAATCCCGAAGGTCCCCCCAGTGGACCCCTCCCACAGTTTTTTCTCTCTCACATGTCTCAGGGCTTCTTAACATTTATGAAACTATTAATGTTTCATACCCTTTTAAAGGTAAGAAACTCCGCTAACTGACAATAAGAACAATTGTTAGCTAGAAAAAACACAAGCGTAATACCAAGCCTTTGAATTAGCATTGAGCGAAACAATGCTAACTAATGCTAACGCTTTTTTACACACAACACACGGTAGAAATGCCCTTATTACTATCTTAACTGCACAAACAAGATATACGATTTAAAGCTGAGACTCCACAGATTCCACACATGTAATGTCATCACTGTAAGACCTCGAATTCCTATAGCTATCAGCCAGCAAAGAGAAAGTAAACAACATCCGGTTCCAAAAATATTACAATAATTACGTCTTACCTTTTTTGATTTGTGATCAAAAGTTGTGTTCAACGGAATAAAAACGCATCTCAAGGTTAATCCAATGTCGTTGTGTCACGTAGAATTTTTTACTGATAATCAATCATCATATTTAAATGGCAATATACTCGGCTATTCACATGCAAATGCTATTGAATGTCCGCCATTGTTTGTGCCCGTCTTCCTATGCTCTCGTCATCACCCGAAGATTCCCGACGATTCCCGAAGTATTTCGTTTCATTGAGAGGGCGCAGTAAAATTGAAAATAAAATCCCACTATCCCTTTAATATAGTACAAAAACAATCCTGATATCATTAGAAAGCTAGGAATCTCCTCTTTCCAACAGTGTATACAACCCAAAATGTGTCTTCGGATCAATGCGACTGATTTCGATGGAGCAGGTCACTTTGCATTAGGTAAAATACAGCAGGCAGACATAACAGGAAGAATATGTACATTTTAATCCAATCAAATAGGACATTGTCACACCATTCAAATGTATCCATGTAGGCCTACATTACAACCAATAACAAAGCTTAGATGTGTTTATTTTAGGGCCGGGACTTTAACGCGTTAATTAAGATTAATTAATTACACAAAAATTAACGCGTTAAAAAAATTAACGCATTTTAATCGCACTTATTTTTGCACCGCGGAACGTTTCTCACTGGATGAGTTTCAGGCGTACCGATTAAACTGGAGCACCAACTAACGTTCATGACTTCAGACAACAACAAACCACAGTGAACAACAGTGGGAAATGTTGTTTTAAAAAACGGACGGATGGAAGCGTCGATAAGAGCACGGTTGTGTGCAAATTATGCAAAAAGGAATTCGCATATCACCGCAGCACATCAAGCCTCAAGTATCACCTCAATGCAAAACATATAGCAGCTAGCGTGGAAGCTAGCGTGGACGTTAGCCTCTTTTATCGCGTTCACACCAAAAAGAGCCGGTACTAAAATTAGTTCATGAGAACCTTTTTACCCCCACGAAAGTCCCTGCTAGAGAGCAGAGAGCTGCTAGAGAGCAGGGACTTTCGTACGGCTCTCTTGTGAGAAAAGAGCTATATGTCTGATTGGCTGGGCGGATTGCAAACCACGCCCCGTAAAACTCCCAAAAAGTTTTGTGAAGCCGCCATTTTATTATCCTCACATTAGCATTATTAGCATTAGCCCAGCGCAGAAACGCAGAGAGACTAACTTATGGCAACACAAAATAAAACATGGGAGCGGTGGAGATGAGGAGGTGTCGGCGTTCTAGCGATTTACTCGGAAGCCAGTCCCCAACTCCGGGGACTTCCGGCCGGGGACTTTGGGCGGCAGTATACGCCGTGAAGTGGTTTGCGGCCTGCCAGTAAACCCAAAGCAGAAGAAGAAGAAGTGACGTCAGCGGCTTCATTTGCCTAATCCACCCCCAGGTTCAAAGAGTTCTCATGAACCTTTGTGGGAAAAGTACTGCGGTGTGACTGCGCCTAATGGTATACTAAAATCCATGTGAAAAAAATAGCTTCTCACTGTTCACAGGTCAAATATTTATATGTGATTAAAAATGCGATTAATTTCGATTAATTAATTACAAAGCCTCTAATTAATTAGATTAATTTTTTTAATCGAGTCCCGGCCCTGGTTTATTTGTTACGTTGTTTACGTTATGTGTTACGTTGTTCAGTGTGTGTCAGGCGTTAACCTAGATAGATAAACTTGCAAACATGTCAGAAGAACCGGCGCATAAGAAAACAAAATACAGTCAAACTAAGCTGAAATTCAACAACTTGAATGTCACATCCCTGACATCCACAACTCCGGAGCCTGGTCCTTCAACCATAGAACCAGCGCAGCCAGATGAACCCCAACAGCAGCTCTGCGGCCGCAGAGGCTGTCAAAACCGCCGCCGCCGGCATCGTTGAACCGAAACAGGCTGGTTCCGACTGCATGGAGGTTTGTTGTCGGGACATTGTGACGGGCGAATAAAAGCTTATTTGGGCAAAGAGAAGGTACTTCAATGCAGAATGGTACAAAAACAGAAAGTGGTTAATTATTTGCAAAACCACTAAACGAGCCTTCTGTGAAATATGCAGATGTGATGCTGTCAAACGGCTTGTAACTTTCTCCAAATGTGGAGATGACAGCTTTGTAAATACCGAGTTAATAACTGGAACTTTTCACAGAGCTTACTTCAGTCAAACACCAGTCAACATTCAGCTTGTCAAACAAGAGCGTAGCAGGAAAAAATAAGAGATGGAATGAGCAACTGCGCTGTCATATGTGGGCTGGTCTGTATAGTTTAATTTACAGGAAAGGAGTGAGCAGAGGGTTGAGTTGTCCATTCTTGTTCTGTTTTCTCTGACTATCTTCCTCCTGAAGACCCTCTCAGACTTTCATTTGCTCACGCTACTAAAGATACACATTACCATGGAAACCAAACAATGGTGTAGCTGTATTGAAGTCCGAGTGGAAACAGTAACATTTGGTGCGTTATGTTAGAATGAAACAAATCAGATTTAGTCAGAAATCGGGAGAAATGCGGGATAAATATGACCCCGGGAGGAAAATGGGAGTCTCCCGTGAAAATCGTGAGGGTTGGCAAGTAGGCTATGTCACATATACACGCACTTTTTTGCCCCCCCCCCACTTCTGAAATGAATCCGGCTCCGCTGATGCCTGTCACTACCCGATCTGCAGCTCTGCCCGATCTGCGGTGCGCATGTGCGAGGTCCGCCATATAAAAGAGTTGTTAAATAATAGTGAAGTCACGTTGTTGTTCTCTATCTCTCTATCTATCTATCTATCTCTCTCTCTCTCTCTCTCTCTCTCTCTCTCTCTCTCGCTCTCTCTCTCTCTCTCTCTCTCTCTCTCTCTCTCTCTCTCTCTCTCTCTCTCTCTCTCTCTCTCTCTCTCTCTCTCTCTCATTTCCTTTTGAGCTTTGCCAAAAGCCACTGTGTTAATGTTGTCCTACTTGGGCTGCCGTCCGGAGTTCTCCAATATGGCGGACCATCTCGCACATGCGCACTGCAGATCGGGTAGTGACTGTCACTACCTGATCTGCAGCTCTGCCCGATCTAGAGTGCGCATGTGCGAGATGGTCCGCCATATTGGACAACTCTGGACGGCAACCCAAGTAGGACAACATTGACACAGTGGCTTTTGGCAAAGCTCAAAAATAAAACGAGAGAGAGACGAGTTATTGTTATTACAACGTGACTTCACTATTATTTAACAACTCTTTTTATTGGGTTCTTTTATTTGGGGTTAAGTACATTGTCAGAAAAAGTGAGAAATGGATTTAACTTCTGTTAGACAGCTATCATACTGAATACATATTTACTGTTGTACTTCCAAATATGGTCAGAAGAGAGCACGCCCAACACGTGAGACGCTGACGCAAGGATATTTAAGGAGACATGGGCTGCTTCTCAGGTCGACTATTTTCATTTCCTCGCTCCTCGGTCCTCGGTCTCACCGGAAGTTGATTTGCCTGCGCCATCTTGAGTACCGTCCCATGGCTCTTATTTCTGTCGGAGGACCGAGGATCGAGGAGCGAGGAGCGATCATGGAGGAGCGATAACCGAGGAACCACCAGACCATCCTCCGATGAAATCCTCAGATACTCACCCCGCCCCCTTACTGTGTATCGCTCACTGATTGGACGAGGCATTGCATGCACTGATCTGATGCTTCTTGACATGAGAGCAGCGGAGTGAAGAAAATACATGAACCTCACAGGACTCACTCCTCAGTTTATACCGTGTTTTGTTTCAATTAATGTATCATTTAGTTACAAATATGTGATCTGAACAAAAGTGATCAAAAATCATTATTGGAAACATTTTCATGATCGCTTTTTTCGTTTTACAGTTTCATTTATTGTCATTTCCATTCAATCACAGCTGAGGCATGAATCCTTGATTTCACTCGGTTTAAAAGCCCTGCCTCCAGCATGCAGCTGGCACATTTGAAAGACATGGCGGCAGAAAAACTACACAAGTGTAAGTACCTATTACTTCATGTTATTTGTATGCCTACAACGATACCGTTACGATAATGCAACATCTGTTCACATGTATTTAACCCACAACTCATATATTTCTGTTATTGAACGCTTTATATTTTCTCAACAATGTTCATGTGAAATGCCCAACTAAAGGCAAGATTTGCAATAGGCTACATAACGTGCGTATACACACGCAGCATTCATTATTTATCGGACATATTTCGGTTGGAAACCACTTGTTTCTTCATTTAACTACCTGCCACATACAGACGTAACTAAGGTACCATCATTCATTTGGCTGGCAGTCACAATGAATTTGTAATAAATAATTCAATACATTCAAATCGGCTCAATTCAATAATTAAGCTGTCATTTATATGCCGCATTATGTGAGTGAAATGTTAATGGCTTAAGGTTTCCTTTTGCTGATGTATGTATAACATAATTCTCCTTAAACAGGGACGGAGGCCCAAACCAGAGCCCTCATTCTACAGAGGACTGACAATGAGCACCTGTTTACAGGAAAGAGCTTCACAGCCAAGAAGGCCTGGGGGTGAGCTACAGTTCTACATGAGTTGTTTAACAATGTTGTTTTGGTGCATGGTATGATAATCAATGTAACCACTACTGTGAATGAACCACAGTGAACCTGAGTGTGTCATGGAATTATTATGCATGAAGCATATTGTCAGAAGTAATCAGACTTTGCATGCCTGGATGCTATAATTTAAGAAATGGTTTACTCCACAGAGAGGTTCTGCAGAAGATGGAGTTGGATGAGTTGCTCACTCCCACCCAACTGGCAAAAAAGTGGGACAACCTGAAAAGAAAATATAAGGTGAGATATTGTATTTCTAGATGCATACAATGCAGCTATTTCTATTGTGTCTTCATCTGACTCTTACATTCCTTGTTCTCCCTCAGGAGCTGAAAACCCCCCCTACAGGGACGGGGACAGATGCGGGGGAGGCCACGGCAGCCACATGGCCGTGGTTTTCCCTGATGCATGAAGCCATTGGGAGTCGGCCCTCCATGGAGCCTCCAGTCCTGATGGACTCGGCTGACGTGGCCCCCAGTGGGATTGGCTCTTCATCCAGTGGAGCTGGGGCCGCTCCTTGTGGCCAGGCAATGGAGGAAGAGGAGGATCCTGGGCAGCCTGGCACAAGTAGCAGCACCACTACACTGGATGAAGAGCCATCCACCTCTCTCAGTCCCCCGCCTGCCAAGAAGAAGAGGGCAAGTAGGGGGGCCCTATTAGAGTTTCTGAAAGAGGAGGCCCAACGAGAGCAGGAACGCTTTGAGGCCAATCAGGCGAACACAAAAAGATTTTTGGATTTATTTGAGAAATTGGTAAATAAATGATTTTATTTCTAAGTTTTTGCAACGTTGTTATTGTTCCATTGAGATACACTTTGTTTGTCAAAACATTGTTCCTTTATTTGTTAAATTATAAACATCACAACGCAATAAACCGCAAATGAAGGCACACAGCTTTTCACACAGTGTGGTGTCCAAGGCCTTCGTGTCCCCAAGTCCTACAAATAATCATGTTCTTGTAGTTCAACTGGTTGCACACATGGAGCAGAGAGCAGCCCTGCCAGTCGGTCTCGCTGGCCATGTCCGCCTCGATCCCTCCTCACCCGACGTGGTGGAACCACACCAATGTCCCCAACATCCTCTTCAGGCTCCAGGATGTCCCCCGCTGTGAGGCAGATGTTATGGAGCACTGCACAGGCGGTGATGACTGAGGGGACAAAGGTGTGGTGGACCTCCAGAGCCTTGAAGAACAGCGATCTCCACCTGCTTTTCATCCTGCCAAAGGCCCGCTCTATGATGGAGCGAGCCCTGGCATGATGCTGGTTGAAGCGGCTCTGCACCCTCCCTTGCAGTGGTTCTCTATATGGGGTGATGAGGGCCACAGGTTCTTCTATGCAGGGGTAGCCACAATCACCCAAAAGGAAGAATCCTAAAAAGAGAGAGAACATATTTAGTATACTAAAAGTCATTGATGGATTTTGATGTATTAACAAGAATATTTGGTGTCACCTGAGGGAGGATACAGAGCCTGTTTGTAAATTGCGCTGTTCTTCAGGACTCTGGTGTCATGGACTGAGCCAGGATACCCAACAAAGGTGTTGAGAAAGAAGCCCTTCCCATCACACACTGCCTGCAATTGTATGGATGGGAAGAGCTTTCTGTTGAGGTAATCCTGGCCCAGAGGTCCTGGGGGGGTCTTTATGCGGACATGGCAGCCATCAATGGCCCCCACACACCTGGAGAATACTGGGCTGTTGGCCAGCCTTGCAAACTCTTGGCCAACCTCCTCCAGTTCTCCAGGGGGGGGGCAGTTTGATGACCTCCTGGCGAAGGGCTGCAATTTGTTGTACTCCAGTGTGCACCAGTCTGCAGACGGTCGACTTGGGGACATCAAAGGCCCGGGACACCACACTGTATGACAAGCCGTGTGCCAACCAATAAAGGGTAATTAAAATATTCACCTCATGTGACCAGCCTTGTGTGTTCTTTGATGGCAGGATCCTCAGCAGGGCCTCCAGAGACTGGCGCCCCAGTCTGTAGTCCTGCATGAGGTCCTTCTGGCCATCAAAGAACGCCGCAAGGACTGGCACATGAGGGTTTAAAATGGCTATGGGATCGACATCCGTCTGCAAAATAAAGATACATGTTACCTTCAGCACCTAGCTTTTATTAAACTGACAATTAATTGATCTTACATGAAATTGCTGTTGTTGGTGAAACCATTCATACTGCAACAGACTAGTAATGCTTACCTCCATGAAACCAATAGCCTGTTGTAGTCGTGCCCGACGGCGCCTGGATTGCTCCTGCAAGAACGCATTATATACATCAAGGCCTACTGCAATGCACGCCATGGCATCAGACATGTTGTGTTTGGAAAGGTTAAACCTCTTTCTATCCAACATGTATATTGGAACCTTCTTCCTAAATTACCTTAATGAGTTTCAGCTTGTAGTTTTTCACTGACCTGCTTAGCTTTTAATTCAGCTGCCAAACCGCAGTCATTAAGTCCTATTTAAAATGTTAATTTGCTCCATACAAACAAACAAAGTGTGGAGTCCAATGAATGTTAATCTAACTGGGTTTTGATAGATAACATATCTGTTTTTGTTCTCTGAATAATTGTATTCCTATTGTGCACTCTAATCAATATTAATCAAACTATTGTTCGTTTAAATACATTTTAAGAATGGCGTTTATCTTTTTTAAGAATGACTTCTTATTTTATTTCATGTATTTGGATCTACAACAGATGATACTCATGTTTATGTCAGTAAATGTGTACTAACAGAGGCGGGGCGTGTGTGGAAATAACGGGTACAGAGCTGGCTGCTGTCAGACGAACAGCTGTGCAGCGTCATCACAAACGGACGTCGCTTCACGTGACGCTCCGGAGGAAAGGACGTCCCATCGCTCTTAAAACTCATTTCCCTGCTTCTCGTGGTTTCCTTGCGTCCCTCCATGCTTCCCTGGTGGGAGGGACTAAACGCAGGGAAACGACGCAAGTGAGGGAAGCAAGGATTTCATTTAATCGACCTGAGAAGCAACCATGGAGGTTTACAGACAACAGACAACAAACAATATGGCGCACCGAGTACAGGTAATTATTAAACGTATTGTGGTTTTAGATATAATTACATACTATTTAGGTTCTCGTTTGTATGTCGATGTGGCAGTTTAGCGCAGTGTAATTGTGTTTATTTTGCTATTATATATATATATATATATATATATATATATATATATATATATATATATAGGCGCTATATATATCTTATTATTAATACATCATTGGAACGGCACCTCCAGTATGCCTACATGACAAGCATTTTTATAATATACAGTAAACATATCTTTGACTTATTGCAAAATTATAAAATGAAATTCACCCCTGCTGTCATTCTGGCTTTCACTGTTCAAATGAGATGTCAACCATCAAAATGGGATAAGGGGTTCCAAGGGGTTCTCAAACGGATAGGTTATTAATTTATTTGCCTAATAGTTGCTTAAAATGCTACAATAACATGCCATGTACGGTCTCTCAGCCACCGTGGGCGGCGTAGTAGGGGGCGTGTCGTGTAGTGTGGTCAATTCGCTTTTCATCTGCCATGCCTCTGCCATGCCTCTCAGCCACCGTAGTGTCGTGTCAGGTGGGCGTGTCGTGTACCGTCGTGTACTGTCCGCGGCCGCAGCTAGACCATATTGGAGAGGGTAGTGACAGTGACAATGCCGTTTCTCTAACGCTAAACCGGAAGTGAGGCTAAGAACGGCGAACTTAAAGATAACAATACCATTAGCACTCCTAGTGGTGACTTTTTGAACCGCAAACAAATTATAACAATATAAAATGCCTTTAAGGCAGCACACGTTTTGAAGCGCTGCACATTATATAAACTAACGTTACACACGGCAACGACATTAACTGCAAACAGTCGTGACTTGTGTGATGTGTAACATTAAACAATATATTAACATATTAAATACAACATTTATGACACCACTCGTTCCACTCAGTAACCCTCTTTGTTCTAAGACATGTGATAGTCTATACACTATCATCTTCTCCATCCATTTACACAAGTGTGATGTTACTGGGTAATGATCACTTCCTATGGTACAGTCACTTTTTACATACCATTCACACGATTTAACTAAACTATCCGTCACAAGTATGAGGTCCAAACATGATTGTGTCCCCCTATTCACGTCTATTCTTGTGTTTTGTCCATCATTAAGGCAAAAACAATGCCCTGTGAAAAAGTATCTCTTTAGCCCTTTCCAAAGTCCTTTAAAAACTCATGCAGCAGTTGCATCTCAAAAGGCCTTAAGGGAAGGTTTTGTTACATTTTAAGGCGTAACCTTTGACATTTAGTTGAACCAGACGCATCAATCTGCATCTGCTCTCCGACACGGTTCCAACAAGACCAAGCTCAAAGCTGTCGGACCTTCCTTTGTGCCGTAAAGGGCACCGTGCGGCATGAAAATGTGACCTCTGACCTCAGTTTTGACCTTGTAGAAGGTCACAGGGTACCCAAATTTTGCAAGCGGGTTCCACACAAGTTAAGCAACACACTCTCAAAGTCTCTGAGCGCCACGCACCTTTTGTCAATTTTTTTCATTTTCTACCCCTCCCCCACCACAAGCCTGTCAGACCCTTAGCTTATGAGAGGATTTTGTGATAAAGTTTGACATTTAATTGAATAAACATTTCTGGGTGGGTTAGGGTTCCCATATTTCAGATTCCTGATCTGGGCCCTATTTAGAAGACCCTGAAGAAAAAATTAGGACCCCATATTGGGTTGACGGACACCCCCCCATGCAGTATAAGTACACACTAATGAGAAGAGGCCATCTATGGTCCAATGCATGCATACACACTCATATGCTGTTTGTGTACTCATTTAGACTGCCAAGTGACGGTAAAAAGCCAAGGCGATCCCATGGCCAAGTATGGTGTGCCCTCGAGGGTCAGAACCGACCATGGGGGCGAAAACAACTCTGTCTGCCTAATGATGAGCATCTTCAGAGGCTCTCACAGAGGCAGTGCTCTCCGTGGAAGAAGCACCCACAACCAGAGAATAGAACGGCTCTGGGGTGACCTGTGGCGAGGTGTGAGCAATGTCTATTACGACCTCTTCAACTTCCTGGAGAGTGAAGGCATAATAGACATAGACAATGAAATGCACATGTGGGCCCTGCATTATGTCTATCTCCCACGCATAAACCATGACCTACGGGTTTTTTGGACCAGTGGAACAATCATGGGTTGAGGATCGAAAGACACCAGAGTCCCATACAACTTTTTGTCCAAGGTTGCCTGGAACGGCAGGGCCAGACCACTTCTGCCATGCAGAGCCTCTTTGGTGGAGGACAGGGAGATGCTCAGGAGGAGCCAGAAAGAGAGGGTAGAGCTGATGCAGGAGATGTTGCTCAGGAGGAGCCAGAGAGAAAGGGTAGAGCTGATGCAGGAGATGTTGCTCAGGAGGAGCCAGAGAGAGAGGGTAGAGCTGATGCAGGAGATGTTGCTCAGGAGGAGCCAGAGAGAAAGGGTAGAGCTGATGCAGGAGATGTTGCTCAGGAGGAGCCAGAGAGAGAGGGTAGAGCTGATGCAGGAGATGTTGCTCAGGAGGAGCCAGAGAGAAAGGGTAGAGCTGATGCAGGAGATGTTGCTCAGGAGGAGCCAGAGAGAGAGGGTACAGCTGATGCAGGAGATGTTGCATTGGACTGGCCAGAGAGGGTCACCGTACCTTCGAAACCAGCACCTGCTAAGCGATGAGGACATGGAGCAAGTCACCGCACAGTTTGATCCTCTTGCTGGTCGTAGA